CCCAGGTTGCCCCCACCAAGGGCACCCTAAAAGCCTCACTTTTAATTTGATTACCTTTGTAAAGACCCTGTCTCCAAACATGTCTTCATTTTGAGGTACTGGGGGCTAGGACTTCAGTGTGTTTACGGATAGGGAAACTGAGGCCTCTCAGTAAGGGCAGTGCTGGGCAGGGGTGAAACCTAGACAAGGATGAGACTGGGCCTGTGGAACAAGGAGGCTCGGCGGCAAGCGTGTGCTGAAAACAATGAACGAGGACGAGAGGAAGAGCAGCGCCGGGCACTGTGGTGCCTGCCTGGCCCTGGGCGGGACGACCATCAGCTGTGGGGACTGAGCCAGTCAGGAAGGAAGCAGGACACGAGGACCTTCATTCGTCCCTTACATTTCTCCCCGTGTGCTGCCTTCTCTTTTCTGCAGATATTGTGGGTCCTGGTAGGTGACAAGGGGCCCATTGTCTGAGGAGGGAGACAGGGACATGAGACTGCCACGGTTGGATCTGGCTGGCCGCAAGGACAGTGCAGGGCAGGCCCTGTGTGAAATGGAGGCTGCCACGTCTGGGCCTGGGGACAAGCTGCCTGATGCCTGGTGACATGAACTTGCACCCGTGGTGCCTCTGTCCCCACACGTAAGACGAACACGTGAGCTTCCCCATTCCCTCCTTCTGAGCTTGCCGCCTGCCGGTGAGTGTCCCTGGTCTCAAGAAAGTAGCCCACAGGCAAGTGGTTGCTGCATTTCCCCGAAAGCAAGTATTGAACTCCTAACAATAATCCCAGCCCTCCAGGATGGGGCGCCCCACTCTGTGCCACAAGGTGTGCTGTCCCCCAGCCCCACCTCCCAGGTGGGGGCACCGCAGACTCAGGCCTGGAGGCTGCACCCGTGGGTCCTGCCCGGGGCCCACCCCACCTGGGGGTCTGTGTGAGGCCTCTGCCCCGGGTGCCAGTCTTCTGAGGAGCAGCGGTGGCTGTGCATGTGGACCAAGGAAGAAAGGCAAGAGTGCGTGAACAGGGGCTGAGCTCCACAGCCTCAGAAAGGGACACTAACGATCCCACCTCCCCCTGGACGCCCCCAGCTGGGCAGGGAAGTTGAAAAGGAGGCTGGCCTGGTGCAGGGCCTTGCCCTTTGCACCTTGTCATTTTGGTATGAATTCAAAAAGCTTCTCATGAAAATCTTCTGAAATCCATACCTTTAAAAAAAGTTTTCTTTTTTAAAATGGCAGTAAAATACACATAACCTAAAGCATAGCACTTTCATCTTCTTTTTTTTTTTTGAGATGGAGTCTCACTCTGTCTCCCAGGCTGGAGTGCAGCCTCCACCTCCCGGGTTCAAGTGATTCTCCTGCCTCAGCCTCCCAAGGTGCTGGGATTACAGGCAGGAGCCACTGCGCTCGGCCTCCTTCTGTTTAAGGCCGAACATGATTCTGTTCTGTGGAGAGGCCACCTTTTCTTTATCCAGATATCTATGAATGGACACTTGAGCGGCTTTCACCCTTTGTCTATTGTAGGGAATGCTGCTGTGTATGTGGGTGTACAAGTACTTGTTTAAGACCCTGCTTTCAAAACTTTTGGGGGAAACATTCTTGACGTGATGGACTCACATTGGAAACTGGTGTTGGAGTAAATGTGGCTGCCCTAAGAAAAGCTGCCACACCCTTGGGAGAGGTAGACACCCCCCGCCCACCAGCCCCCAGTCCCAGGCTGTCCAGCCTGTCCTCCCACTCCACAGTCACAGCGTCGTGCCAGGGCTATGGTTCATGAAGAGTCACACAGTCTTAAACGGTAGAGGTAACGTGTAAAGGTGGTGGTGTGAGCTGTATTTGTGAGTGTCTGCTCATGGCATGCCTGCAAACGGGCAGGTGCTTCGTTGATCTGCCTCCTCTTCTCCCTGCTCAGCTTGCCCTCGCCTCCCGCCCTCTCCGAGGTCCCTCTGACCCCCACCCCAATTCAGGAGCATGTGGCACCTCACTGAGTTCTCAGCAGAGATAATGGAGACCCCCCCTCTATCCATGCCCACAGCAGACAGGGCATTTCCCAGGCTGAGACCCCAAGGTAATTACTCTGTGCTTCCAGGCACCTCTGGGTCACAAGGTGGCTTTCTTTATTTGTTTATTTATTTTGACACGGAATCTTGCTCTGTGGCCCAGGCTGGAGTGCAGTGGTGCAATCTCCTCACTGCAACCTCTGCCTCATGGATACAAGCAATTCTCGTGTCTCAGCCTCCAGAGTAGCTGGGGCTACAGGTGCAAGCCATCACGCCCAGCTAATTTTTGTATTTTTAGTAGAGATGGGGTTTCACCATATTGGTCAGTCTGGTCTCGAACTCCTGACCTCAGGTGGAGGTCTCCCAAAGTGCCTCGGCCTCCCAAAGTGCTGGGATTGCCGGTGTGAGCCACTGCACCCAGCCTGGTGGCTTTAATTGATTGCCATCAGCCATTACACCTGGGCATGGCCAGGGTGCCCTGGGCCTTGCTCACTGTGGGTGGCCTCAGTGGGTTTGGGACCTCAAGGCACCGAAGTTAAGCCAGGGAGAAGCCATATGGGGACCAGCAGACATGGGCAGTACACATGGTTTATTGTATCACCTGGAGGCACTTACAGTATTGCCTGGATTCTCTATTGCAGGGTAATGCTCAAGGGAGATCTTGTCATCATCCCTCATGATTCTGGGCCACCTGGGTGCAGCAGGCAGCTCTCGCCCACAGGGCTGGGACCCATTGCAAAGGCTTCCCCCAAAGGCTTCAGGCCTGGCTGCCGCTTGCTGTTGGCAGGGACGCCTCCGCATGCCTCTCTACGTGGCCCGGGCTCCCTCACAGCGAGGCGCTGGTTTCCAAGGACAAGAGCCTGGAGCTGTCTTCCCTCCTGACCTGGTCTCCCGTATGCTGCCCTCTCTAGTTACAGCGAGTCTCTTAGGGCCTCTGTATTTAGGGGAGGGATGTCAGAGTCCGCTTTTATATTGAAGGGGCATCAAAGAATATATGGCAGTTTAAAAACCACCACTAACGCGTTTGTTGCTCCCCCCACATAACATGCCGTTGTTATGGAGCCTTCTGTGTGCCGGGGGCCACTGGGCCACTCCAGTGACAGGACAGGGGAGGTCCCTGCCTGCTAGGTGCCAGGCAGCCCAGTGGACAGGTGCCGTGGTGGGTTTCTTTCAGAGGGGAGGGGACTCCCTCACGGCCCCCAGGAAGGGACATCTGGTGGCAGGTAGAGCTGGGTGGTAGGCAGACTGGTGGCCCATCTGTGGGACCAGCCCTGCCCATCTGGGGGGCCGCTGCACTGTGGAGGGACACAGGGCAGGGCCAGAGCACTTCACCCCCTGCTCACTGGCTGCTGTGATGGAGACACATGAACAGTTCTAGGATGCCCTGGATTCTGGGGCATTCTTAATTTCTTCAGGTTTGTGAATTTCCTCGTGCTAGGTGGTGGCAGCCCCAAGTGTCTGGGACCTGTTTCCTGGCTGAGTCCACAGTGGGCACGGCTCACCTGGGTCAGCAGCTCCATCCTTGCTCACCTCAGGCGGCTCAGGGCTTCCTGAAAGGAGAGCCGAGGTAGTAGGGTACAGAGAACTGACCTCAGCTCCCTCAAGGCCCCTGTGGAAACGTAGGCATAGCCCTGGGTGGATCAGAGTGACCCAAACGCAGGGGCTTCCAGCACCTGTGTGCCAGGGCCAGCCTGCCTGAGCCTCGGCTTCCTCATATGAAGGACAGAAATGTCCCCTGCAAATGTGAGAAAGGGCTCAGCAATGACCCTGTGCATGGGTGTGCATGGGTGTGCATGGGTGTACTTGTATTATATGTGTGTGTGCATTGTCAACCTAAAATAATCAAGAGAATCACAATATAGTCTAAAGAGAGTTTATTCAAGCACAAGGTTGAGGACTGCAGCCAGGGAGACACTTCCAAGTTGCTTCAGGGAATGTCTGGAGAACAAAAGAGAGGCTCCAGTGTTTAAAGAAAGGATGAATCAGGAGAGGGGGTGGTGACCGTTGTTCATCAGGAACTCTCATTGGTTCACAGAAATAACACTGGTTAGTGATTGGCCAGTCACTGTTGAACTACAGGGAATGTGGCATTTTAGGGTTACTTGGCATCTGTTAGTCTAGAGCCTGCATAGCAAGTGGTTTCAGGAGGGACCCATTTTGCTCGATGGGGAGTGACAAGTGACTGTGTTGCATTCTGGCGCCTCTCGACGCCTGATTATATAAAGGGGCTGGCATTCCTCAGATAAAGTTCTTTTTATTTTTCAGCATACATGTGCACACATGTGTATGTATGTGCACATGTGCGCTTGTATATGCATGTGTGCACCTTGCCTTGAAGGCCAGGCAGTGGCCACGCCAGCCCAGGAGGGTTGCTGCTGGTAAAGCCTTTGGCCGCAGAGGGGCTCTGCCCAGCTACACTTCCCAAAGTGGCTCCTCCCTCTCCTGCCCCTCTATCCAGCTTTGTTTGTCTGTTCTCATTACCTCTTTTATTTTAAAACAACACATACTCTGTAAAAAGTCCCTGCAACTGGGCCAGGTACAGTGGTTCATGCCTGTAATCCCAGCACTTTGGGAGGCCGAGAC